TGATCGTGGGTTTGGTTACAAAGATTACACATGTCACAAAATTGCATAGAACTAAACACACACACACACACACACACACACACACACACACACACGAGTGCATTTAAAACTGATGAATTCTGAATAAAGTCTGTAAATTGTACCAAAGTCAATCTCTTAGTTTTGATATTGCACTATAAGTATGCAAGATAACACCATTTGAGAAAATTGGGTAAAGCTTCCACAAAACCTTTCTATACTATTTTTTGCAACCTCCTATGAATTTATCATTTTTTCAAAATTAAACATTAAAAATATACAATATAATGGATTCTCATTTCACTCTTAAAAATTATGATGTAGATAGCCACATAAAAGAGGAGAACAGCATATCATTGAGTAGAAAGAACAGGCTGAAAATAACACACATAATGTAATCACATTTCTGGAAAATTATGTTTATATGCATGTTTCAGCCTATGAGGACATCTAGAAGAGTGGTCGCCAAAATGTTAATAATGGTATTTGGGGAGAGATGTTTTTTACTTTCTTTTATATGCTTTCTGTATTGTTTGAATTTTCTACAGCAAGCATGTATGAGTATTACCTTCACAACAGAAAAACAAAAATGTTAATGCTTAGGGTTTTTTTAATGCTCCAAATGACAATTTATCATTATGGAAAAAATAATAATGACATATTGCTTCAAAACACAAAAAGCATGTTGCAAAACAATATAATCCAAAGCTTATAAGAAATCATATTTTTATAGACACAAAATCTTATAAGAAATCATATTTTTATAGACACAAATTCTGGACAATGCACATCAAGGCATGAGCAGTGCATTCTGGGGGTGAAATTATGGGTTCATTTGTTTTGCTGGTCTGTATTTTCTAGTCTTACGCTGTACATTTCTCAATTTGCAATTACTCTTCAGATAGTTTAGAGGTTTATATCTTCCAAATAGAAACAATAAATAAATACAAAAGGTATAAAATGCCATGCCTCTGTACCTCCTGTGTCACCCAACTACTCGGTTCCCAGTTGGTCACTCCCAGGTAACCACTGCTATTAGTGTGTTGTGTATCTTCCCAAATTTCTTCATACAAGTATAAGCAGATATGACTTCCCCCATTTTATTATTTTTTTTAAAGTAGCATATTCTATATACTGTTCTGTGTTTGCTTTTTTTCACTTAAAAATACACTTTGGAGAGCTTTCCATAATAGTACCTAGAGCTTCCACTTCTTTTTTTAACAAGTGCATAATGTAATTGTAGGGATAAACCATAATTTATTTAACCAGATCTTTATTAAGAGCTATTTGTGTCAGTTCCAGTCTTTGGCTCTTATAAACAGTGCAGCTGTACTTGCACCCTTTCGCTTATGTCCAAGTTCATCGTCTGTCTGTTTTTATCCTGGGTTAGACTTTCCCCTATCAGCTTTTAGAAACACTTTACCTAATAGGAAAATTAGGTCCCCGTTCACTATTTAACTTGTAAATGTTTTTCCTCTTTTGCCATTTGCCTTTTGACATCACAAATGGTCTTTTTGCCGTATGGAAGTATATATGATTTTTATGTAATAAAAATTGCCAGTATTTTCTCTTTTGGCTTCTGGATTTTGAGTCATAGCTAGCAAGGCCTTCCCTACTCCAACATTATGAAAGAATTCTCTCCTAAGTTTCTTCTAGCGATTTTAAGGTTTCATTTTTTTACATCGGAATCTCCAGTCCATTTGCATTGACTCTGGAGACAATATGTGAGATATGGATTCAATTTTTTTTCATCCATTTGTCTTCATGCTATTTATTAATAGATGCATTTATTTTAAAAGAGAATGGAGACTTTGGAGTCATGGAGTGCTGGGATCTTCTTTACGTGGCTACTCTGTTATTTATTTGGCTGTGCTACCTTGGGCACTTCCTTTACCCTCCCTGAACCTCAGAGAATAGATGAGGGAAAAGGTTTGAAAGGAAGCCACTGAATAAAAACCATTTGAAATGTTTCCAGTGAGAAAACTGAGGATCTGGTAGCTCAGAAAAAGACCTTGAGCCATCTTGCCCACCCTCTCACGGTATGAATAGGGAAACTGAGGCCCAGACAGTGGTGTGGATTTTACCTCCAGGGCCTAGACCCTAAGGCGGGGTCCCAGGCAGACACAGAGAGGGAAAAGCCAACCCCACCACCCAGCTGAGGAAATCAGGCCAAAGCAGAAGTGACACCTCTCCAGGCTCTCCATATAGAAGCTGTGGTTCCCACCCCCTTTCCCAGGAGCAAACCACCATCTTCACTTCTGCTTGCAGCCTCCAACATGCCTGTTCCCATCCCTCAAGAGGCCACCACCCATTGTTACCCCATATCCTTGGCCATCTCCATCATCCCATCACCCTGCAACTCATGATTTAGGGCCCTTGGGAAACAGGACTCCCTGACCTGACTTCCAATACGATTCTGACTTGAGCGTGGGGAAACTAAATACCACACAGGAGTGTGCCTAGGGTTCTACAGCAGCCCAGTGGTCAAGCTGGGACTTAAGCCCAGGGCTCCAGGCTCCCTGTCAGATGCTCTCCCCACTGGGTGGCACCCTCCCAAAGGTGGCTGGGTGGTGGAGCTGCTATGTGGATGAGTAAGACCATACTTAAGCCAATAGAGAGATGAGGAGACATTCAGAGCACAGAATAGAGCCTTTGGAAGATGCAAATTTGATAACCACTTCCAGTATTCAGTGTCTGGGCTGTGACATTGGGCAAGAATCTTGACCTCTCTGTGCTTTGGGTCTCCTCATCTCTAAAATGAGGCCAAGAAGACCTATTCACCAGGGAGAGAGATTCAAGCATCCATTTCCATGATCCACACTCCCAGGAGTCAGGGCCTACCCTGAAGTCCTCGGCCAGGAACACATCTGAGCTCCGGACTTGGGAACCCCTGCCTGCACACCCCTTCAGCTCATCCTCTCCCCAAAGTAGTACTAGGGCCTGCTGAGCCAGCCACGCTTCTGTATGTGGCCCCACTGCCCCTGCCAAACACAAGCTGGAGCCCCACCTCTGGCCTCACCCTGGCCTGGGTTGAGGACTGACTCTGTGATCTCTGCAGGAAGTCCTGACAGGTGCTATTATTAGCCCATTTCACGTTTAGGAAAGCCCAACAGGGAATCTGAGAGCAAGCCAACACATGAGTAATTTCCCTGCGATACACTGTCCCAGGATCCAATTCAGGTCACTGAGAGAAACTGCACCTGCTCCAGTTTGCCCAGCACAAACTCCGTACCAAGCCCTTACCCCTGTCACCTGAGGTGCAGCTTACTGGACTAAACCCATTTCACAGTTCAGAAAACAAAGGTCCAGCAACTTGCCCCAGGCCACATGCGGGGGAGCTAAGATCTGAACCCAGTCCCTAACCACCCCTTCATTTAAATTGCCTTTTTTCAAAAACATAGATCTCTACATTCCCCAAGATTTGAAGTTGCCACTAGGAACCCAGAAACTGATGAATGGGATGAAGGTGGGTTCCCCAGATTTCTGCTTGTGGGATGTCCCAAGCCCAGTACCCGTCTGGGCAGAGACATGCCCAGTGCCTGCTAGAGAACCTGCAGAGAAGGACAGAGAGCGAGGGGAGTGGGGAATAGAGAGGCCCAGAGTGGCTGACCTGTTTAGCAGCTGCTGTCTGGCTGCTGTCCCGCTGCCGTCTACAGGAAGAAGAGGAAGTCGGGAACCTCAGTGCAGCAGGCAGCCTCTGCTCTGTACACCCCACATCACACATCACACTCTCATTTCACTTCTTTTTTGACCTGCAGCAGCCTTTTTGCTTCCTCTGAACTGATAGCCACACCCATCTCGCCCCCTTGATCTCAACCCCAAGGCCTGTAGCAGGCAGAGGTGCTTGGCATCAGTGGGGTGAGGGAGAGAGCTCGCCAACATGGCACCCTGCTGGGTTCAAGACCCATCTCAGCTCTGCACCCTCGGGCAAGAGATGTCACCTCTCCGAGCTGTTTCCCCACCTGTAGGAAAGGGAGAATGATCCCTGCCTGACCTGAAGATCGATGAGATGGATGCTGGCAAGGGCCTCAGGCAAGGGCTGGGCCAGACTGCTTGGGCTCAAACACCAGGCCAACCACTTATGAGCTGGGTGACTTTGGGCAAGTGATTGAAACTGAAGCCTGTCTCCCCTCTGTAAAATGGAGATGACAGCACCACCTCACGGGGGTAGCGAGGAGCCCATAAAAGGCAATGCTGCCAAGTCCCTGGAAGTGCTGCTTAAAGCCCTCGTGTTTCACAAATGGGGGGCCCCGAGTCCCGGAGAGGATAAGGGCCAGGCCCAGAGTTAAGGGACTCCATGGGGGCAGAGCTCAGAAAATATGGCCAGTACAGTGGGACTGCCTGGGAGGCTCGCCAGCTGCTCCTGGAGCCAGGGATCTGGACAAGCCTATGCTATGCCAGCCACTTCCTCCACAGAACCCTAAGGAGCAGAGGGAGGCGTCTGTGTGTGTTGGTGGGAGACAGGGTGCTCTCTCTTGTCCAGGCCCCACTCAGGCCTTGGGGAAATCCTGACTCAGGAATGTGCTCTGTTACCCTGGGGGTGGGATGGGGGTGCAGCAACTAGGAGAAGGCAGGCAGGTCCCAGCATGGTCTCTTCTCTGCCCCCACCCCAGGAACCTTCCAGCATCAGCCCAAGCACAGCCCACAGGTAGCTGAGGCGGCCTGTTTGGGAAAGGGGAGGGGAGCTGCTTCTTGGCGGGCAGGGAGATTTCAGGGGAGCATAGGCCCCTCCAATCCCAGCTACAGTGCAAAGGCTTTGCAGGGCCCCCTGGGCACTTGTGTCCTGACCCCTTAACCACACTCCTGCTGCGTGACTTGGGTAAGTCCTTGCCTTCTCTACATGTTGGTTTTCTGTGACCATCACCCAGACCTTGACCTCAAGGTCCTTCCTTTCTGAGGTCTCTTGGCCACGTCTAGGATTGCAACACCAGCAGCCTTCCTCCCCAGCCTGTCTATGAACCCAGGCGGCTCCTCTCACAGTCCTGATCCCGGAACTCTCTGCCAAGACACACCCAGCTCAAAAGCCGGCGGTGGCTCCCTCCTGCCATCGTAGTCTAGCCAGGGGTCAGCAAACTGCGGCTCGCGAGCCACATGCAGTTCTTTGGGTACGTTCCGTCTCAAAAGTTTGCTGACTCCTAGAAGAGTCGATCCTGTCCCTCACGACAATTTAAAAATTATTTGAGAGCTATAAATATATTTTTACACAATCACCATGATGTGAATAATATCCTTTAAAAATTTTATAAATGAAACTATGATAGTTTTACTTTCATTTTCAATTTTCCTTTAGAGCCACATATACGTACCCAAAGAGCCGCATGTGGCTCGCAAGCCGCAGGTTGACGACCCCTAGCAGCTTTTCCATCTCAAAAGTTTGCCAATCCCTGGTCTAGCCCCATCTAACCTCTACTTCCACCCAGTTCTGGACGTGCTTGCCATATGCAGACCCTTCTCCCTGCTCTGTCCCAGCTGTGACACACACATGTACCTGGGCAGCAATCCAGCTCCTCTCCATCCCTCAGGGCTCCTGCCTCCTCCTCTGGGAAGGCTTCCCTGACTCCAGCTCCCCAAAACATCCCAAGTGCTTTAGCTTTAGGAGGCATGCCAGTCCCTCGTTCAGTCCCCCGGGCAAGGAAAGGGCAAAGCCACCTCCCACTCCTCACCCTGAGAGAGCCACACACCACCCCTAGTGAAGTGTGTCTCCACATCAGGGCTACTCACACTGATGATCTCTGACATTAGACATTAGATAAGTTGAGTCACACCTTGTAATAATCATTGACTTTTCTCAGTTCTGCTTACACACAGGAGAAGCCTCTGTTTAGAGCTAAATTGTCTCTAACCCTTCCCTATCACTGCCTATGTTCTTTTTTTTTCATTCTTCAACCTTTTATTGGACATAGAAAACAAGACAACCTATTTTTAATGATTTTTCTAATTTTATTGGGGAATTGGGGAAGGGGAACAGCATTGGGGAATAAGGGAAGGGGAACAGACAAGTTGCTGTCCTTTTGTTCTTTTGTCTAGTTGTGGAGGACATTGCTTCACTGGCCCATTTGGTACTATCATTGCGCTCTTCCCAGGTGAGGCAGTCACTCGCAGGCCATTGGACGGCCACTCACGGCCGCTCACACTGGCTGCCGGCCACTCATGGTAGCTTACGGCAGCCCACTGCAGCCCCAGGTCAAGCTGTTGTTCATCATCTTAGCTGTAGAGGGCGCAGCATCACTGGCCCTCATGTGGGATCCGAACCAGGGCCCTGCTGCTCAGAGCTGGCGTTTCAAGCCAACTCTTAACCAGCACACCACTCGGCTGGTCCTTTAATGATTTTTTTTTATTGTGGCAAAATATAACATAAAGTTTACCATTTTAACCTCTTTAAGCATACAGTTCAGTGGCATTAAGTACATACATTCACAATGATGTGCAGCCATCGCCACCATCCATCTCCAGAACTTTTCCATCTTCCCAAACGGAAACTCTGACCCCATTAAAAACTAACTCCCCATTTCCCCTCCCCCAGCCCCCGGAACCCACCATTCTACTTTCTGTCTCTATGGATTTTGACTCCTCTTGGTACCTCATATAAGTGGAATCATACAATATTTGTCCTTTCGTGACTGGCTTATTTCACATAGTATAATGTCTTCAAGGTTCATCCATGTTGTAGCATGTGTCAGAATTTCCTTCCTTTTTAAGGCTGAATAATATTCCTTTGAATGTATTGACCACATTTCATTTAGCCATTTTTCTACCAACAGACATGGGATGCTTCTGCCATTTGATAATTGTGAATAATGCTGCTATGAACATGGGTGTACATATTAAGTCCCCTTTTAAACAAAGTTTCTAGCTAGGTTAATGATATTATTCACATAACATTTATTTTTATGTTTTTCTTCTGTTTATGCCAACTGATACAGATGTCCTATTCCTAAAATACACGCACATTCTAAAAAGTGATTTAAAGAAAAATGTTAAGTAAACAATGGCACAAGAGCTATCTGTTGATGGCAAAAAGTGGCAACAGAGATACAGGACAGAGAACTGCTGAGTGTCGGAAATGCTGACACAAGCCGCAGTCAAAAACCCTGCTGTGCTGAGATGGGGAGAGAAACCCCCAGGGGGTCAATGGGAGGCTGACAGCAGATTGGTGCTGCATCCAGGGGGCTGACTAGAGGTGTGGTCTTAAGAATAGGAGTGATAATGATAAAATTGAATGAGTCAAATCTGGACTCTGAGCCCTCCCAACTGTGACTCTGGACTTGCCACTTGACTTTTGATCCTCCTCGCTTTTCTCACCTTGAGATGGTGTAACAACACCCAGCTCACAGGGTAGGTGTAAAACAATTAATTCAAGTGAACTGCTAAGCCTATGCATGGTCAAAAGCCATCTAGCCCCAAGAGTAGGTGGCTCCCCACTCCCACCCCACCCCTGCAAGAGAAACCCCTAGGACGGTATCTTTGCTTCCTATCTTAAGAGAGAGGGCTCAGCTGTGATGATGTTACAATTGGTGCTTCAGTTCTGCCATCAACTCAGCCTCCTCCAGCTCCTGCATCCTTAGCCCTTCTCTGGAAATTCTAGGAACTCTGGGCTCTTGGTCCATGGCTGTCCTTAGTGGCTGTGGGACTTTGGGTATGTCTGAGCCAACTGCCTCCCTGAGCACTTCCCCAGCTTTAAAATGGGAACATCCCCGTCCTCTGAGTACTCCATTGCTGAATCTCGCAGGTCCAAGGTGCGCAGTAAGCCAGACCAGCCCCTGTGCCATTTATAGATTAGTTCCCTCTCAAACACCACGTATCCCCACTGAAACCTATCTCTAGCTGATTGTCAGAGGTTATCAATGTTTAATCGTGCAAACACAAAGCAAGTGAAACTGCAGATCTTGCAAAAAGTGTGGGATTTCATGAAGTTGATGGAAGTAACGCCATAAAAAGAGCAGGAGCTAACCACAGAAGAGACTTCTGTAAGAGAAATGGCGGAGACCTTCCAGAGAGGACTGTTTGACCATCAATGGATTCAGTGACCTTTGGATTTGGAACCCTCAAATATTTTTGCAAAAATGACGCTCATGTCCCAAAGAATCGATTCTTCGTTCATTCTAATGCGTGCATAGTTGCAATTATAATCTAAGCGTCATTAATCATGGGTTAAAACTAATTTATCTTCATCATTTTTAGTTTCTTTTTTGCGGTAAAGTCCTAATCTGACCAGGTTCCTCCTACTATCTCTGTGAAGTTCTCTTTCTAGATAGATTCACCTCAGTCAACCTTCCAGGGTACAGGATGTGGTGAGGAGAGGCCACTCAGAGTCTGCCCCACCCCCTCCCACCAAAACCCGCAGACACCCTATTCCCAAGGGAAGAAGGCCCAAAGTGTTCGGGTGCAAGCAAGGGCGCCTGGCCACAATTTCCAAGGGACCATCCCTCCTGGCCGTGGGCTCGGGCCCTGCCAAGGGCAGGAAGCACCATTGCGCATCGGAAAAAATCTCCGCCCTGCGGGCCAAGTGCCCACCACTTTTCTCGACACCTGTGATGTTACTTTGGGCAATCCTTTTATTGCAGAAACGGGAAACGGAGGACACGTGAAGCACAGAGACTTGCTGCTCCACGTCCACTCGTGGCAGACCTAGACTAGACAGAGAGCAGTGAACAAAAGTGAACACTCGGTAAGCACGCTCCACGTGCTAAGCCCGGGACAGGCCGCCCCACTTCTCCAGCGGGGCGCCTAGTAAGTCACTGCCGCTCGGGAAACCTGAGGCAGGAAAGCAGAGCCCAGCGGGGCCCCCAGCCTCTGCCTTCCGTCCCCCCACCCTCGGCCCCCTGCGGGGGTGGGGCTTCTGTCCGGGTCCCGCTGGCTCTGTAACAGATCCCGCCGCCCCGGCCTGCACCCCTTGTCCCAAAGGTAGGCGGGTGCCTTCACCCCAACATCCCGACTGGCCGGGGTCACAGCCCGGCCGCAGCTTGCCAGGGGCCTCACCGCCCCGCCGTCTCCTCTCCATCCCCTCCCCCCAGGAGGGAGGAGGAGACTCCCCGGCCCTCCCTTGGCCCTCCCGGCGGCGGTCGCAGCCAGCCCCGTGCCCGCTCCGCCCAGCCACTGCGGGTCGGACGTCCGGAGCCCGCGGGTCCCCGACCGAGGTGAGCGGGGGCGGCGGTGCAGGGGGCGGGAAGCCGCAGCGTCCCGGGAAACCCCTCCAGGCCGCGCGCGAGCCTTCCGCGGGAGGGATGGCGTTAACATGGGGACTTGCTGGAGCGGGAAGCAGCGGGGGCTCCCGCGTCCGCAGCAACCCCCCAAACTCAGAGCAGAACTTCCTAGCCTTTTCCCCGGGCTCCCCCACTTTCTGGGTCCCGGGGCCTTGGCTCTGGAGGGGCTGTGGGGGGGATGGGATGGAGATACAGGGCCGCCTCCGGAATGCCGCCGGCCCGGGCCGGGCGGGAGGGGGACAGCGAGCGGGGGCGGAATTTGGAACTCTCCCGGGGGACCCAACGTGGTCACCATGGCGAATGCGGGATGGACGGGCAGCGCGGGCCAATCGGAGTACGGCGTCACTGCCCCGGCACGCGAGGCTGCCAATGGGGACCGCGCGGTGGGGTGGGCGGGACCGCGCCGCGCGGGGCCGGGAGTCCCGCCACCACCGGGCGCGGGTTAGATCGGTGGACCTGGGTGGCTGGGGAGGGGGCGAGAAAGTGGGGATTAAGGCGACTCAGGTCGTGGGAGGGTCGAAAGCGAATTTCTGGAAGGAGTGGGGCAGGTGGAGACACGGTTCAGTGTGAGGAGAAAGGAGTGGGCCTCAGTTGTCCCACCTTTCTGATGGTGCTAATGGGTGATATCTGACAGGCCTGCTCCCCACCCAGGGCTTCAGTTTCTCTGTCTTAAGTGCAGGTTGTCCAGGGCTGTGGGGTTGGATTGGTTCAGATTAGCACAAGGGTTGCCCACTTGTTGGACAGAGCTTTCAGGAATCTTTTTAGTGCCACTGCCCGTTGTACAGGTAAGGGAACAAGCCCAGAGGGGGCAGCTACTTGCACATATCACACAGCTTATCAGTTACAGAGCTGGGACTAGTGGGGTGCCTGCTCTCAAAGAGTGAATAGTTCAAGGAGTTGCTGAGAGACCTGGGGCTGGAATCTGCCCCCAAGAAGGGCTCCCACCCTCTCCCATAGATGACATGCATCTATGTTTGACCATTTGGCCTGATGCCTAAGGACCCCATTGTGTAGATGCCCCTGAGATAGACATGACCCAGGAGGGGAAGCATCCAATCCTAGCACTCCAGCACCCGTTCCCCCCCTCACCCCCCATTTTGCTGCTCGTCCTCTGTGTGGATGTGGGCAAGGAGCTGCTCCCGTAGGCCTCAGCTGGACCATTTGTAAAGAAAGGAGTTCTAATCGTGATCCAGGCTATCTTTGTGGCTCCTCCTCTGAGACTGGGGGTACCTGGGACAGACCAGGGGTTCCTACCCTAGAGCTCAGGTCCAGCCTGCAGGCCCGTCTTGCCTCCGTCCCTCCCTCTCAGTCCTCTCCTGGACTGAGGAGCCCTGAGTGGCTGGAGCCCTGGCAGCAGGTCAGAGAGACAGGTGCCCGCAGTTTGTGGGCTGACCAGCCTTGGACCCTGCACTTATCCAATCAGGCTATCCTCTGTGGTTTCCTGCTGGGCTCTGCTCCCTGCCCACAGCCAGGCCTGTGGCCATGGGCCAGCCCCAGAGCCCCACCTGAAAGGTTCTGGGAGGACATAGGGGGTTTTTGAGTGGGAGGAGAGTTGGGCTACTGGGCACACCCCCAATCCCCTCAGCTGGCCCCCATCCAGGCCTCACTCAGCATTGCTCACTCCTCTTATTGGGTATTAAGAGTCATCTAAATATGCTAAGGACAAAACACAAAGTTGTCCTCCTATGGGCCAGTTAGGCTTCCTCGGGTAAGAGGCCTGACCCCTGACCCGGCCATGAGATGACCTCTGACTCTGACCTTGGCCACAGACAGGCTCAGAAACTTCCCTGTCTCAGAGCCTGGCCACAAAGTAACTCCTGATCCTTAGGATAGCTCAACCCTCCCTGGTCACAAGGGGGCCCCTAACTCTCCATCTTCTATCTGTCAGCCTGGGAAGCATTTATGCAGCATCTGCTGTATGCTGGGCCCCATGCTGACAGCGAGACCAGATGCCCTTGTGGACTTTGCAGTGTGGCCATTACTGAAGAACAAGGAGGTGCCAGAGCTTTGGGAGCACTAACAAACTCTGTGTATGAGGTCAGGGAAGGCTTCCCAGAGAAAGGGAAACTGAAGGTGGGTCTTGAAGGATGTGTAGGAGTTTGCTGATGGAGAAAGAAGGGAAAGAGAGATCCACAAGCAGCAGGAACCACTGGTCACTTTCTGTGGACAAGGCTGATGAGGGCCTAGCCTAAGGCAAGTATCACATCACAACATTCTTGTTTCTGTCCTAGAGTGGGCTGGAAGCTGCCCGCAGCAGTGAGATGGCTGTGGCGCTGGGGGGGTTCAGGAGCACTGAGTCCCACTCAGCCCTGCTGCCCAACTGAGGGAGTCATAGTTCAGCCTCTGCTCTCCACCCCACCAGCCAACTTTAAGCAAATCCTCTATGCAGAGCCTGTCCTAGAAGCTGTGGGTGGCACAAATGTCCCATCTGGGTGGGTAGAAGCCTGTGCTGCAGGAAGAGAGGGCAGCTGGCCAGATCTGGCTATGGAAGGTTGTGCTTCCTGGGTAGGGATTGGGACTGGGGAGATCAAGGCATTTCCTTGAGGTAATGGAACCGAACTTGAAGGATTGGGGGTGAGGGGGTGGGGGGGCATTCTCAGTGGGGGGGGACAGGCTGAGCAGAAGCCCTGAGAGTTACAGCAGGAATAGGCCTGTCTGGCTGGGAGGCAGGAGAGGGGAGGGTGGGGTAAGAAAGGCTCCCTGGGGCCTGTGGTGGCTGGTCCCTCCTGAACTTGCTCCTTGAGGGGTGGTGACACACCCTGGGGGAATCAGGAGGCCACCCTGCACATATACAGGCACACCCGATGGAAAGAGGGCACTGAGTTCTGGTGGGTAAGAGGCCATCAGGGCAGGGTCGCTGGAGCCTGCCTCTGTAACGGCAAGCTGGGCCTCTGTGTTGCCTCCAACTCTTGGTGAGTGTATATGTTACCAGGGCTGTGTGTGAGTGTCCCCCAGGCTGTGTTATGTGAGGGGGATGGGGAGGGGATGAGGGGCAGCTTGCATTGCCTGGCAGGGTCTGGTTGAGTCTAAGTGGGTGTGCAGGGTTCCTGGTGTTCTGGGGGATGGGCTTCTCCAGAAAACCAACCTTGGGACCCCCACCCCCACTTCTTCCCACAAGTGTGTGTACACACCCTCCTGGGAACCTGGGGTCTGCAGCAGGAAAGGCAGGAGAGCTGTTCTGAGCCCATCTGCCCCACTCTCCTCCGTCCTCCCCCAGCCCCCAGGAAAGGCCAGGCTGAGCTGCTGAGAAAGGGAACAGAAACTGAGTCTGGAGCCCACCCCTGCCTTTAGTATGGGCACCTGGAAGCCATTAGGGAGGGACCCGGGTGGCGCCTGCCCTTCCCCTGCGCAACAGGCTGACAGGCTTGGGATTCCTGGAAGGAGAAGGCCACCCCCTCCCTTTAGAGCCCATGCCAAGCCTGGCAGCTCCCAGAGGCAGAGAGGATGTGGCAGTGGCCCCCTCCCTGGCACTCTCAACGTTTAGGGACTCAGGAGGGGCCCAGTCGACAGGACCCAAGCCCTAGGACCTCCTCACCACCACCCCCATTCCTAGCACAGCCCAGGCGGCTGGGGCTGGCACACGGATTTCCTGCCTCTTTCCCCTCCCCCACAGGCTCTCACATTGTTTTTCTTTTCCAAGAGCTTCTCCATGTGGAGCTGGGCCAGGAAAATGGGAAGAGGAGGAGTGAGTGTCCGTATGCGTATTTGTGTATGTGTATGAGTGTGTGCATCTGCTTGTCTTAGCGATGAGTATCTTTGCATGTCTCTGTGTGTATCCATCTGTGTGTTGGCATGTGTATGTCTTCAGGTGTATCTGGGATTCTGTACCTACAGGTGAGCATCTTTCTGTGTGTTGGTATAGTTGTGTGTGCTTATGGGTCCATCTCTGAGTATGCATGTGTCTGCCTGTGTCTCTGAGTCGTGTTTATGTGTACAAGATGGCATGTGTGGCAGCAGACGTGCCTGGGTGTGCGCAGATGTCTGTGAATGCACATGGGATCAAGGCCAACTACCTCACTGCACAGGTAGAGAGACTGTCACAGAGAGGACACTCAGCCTGCAAGAGATCCCTTGGGGAGTCAGTGGTGTACTGGGAACTGGAAACTATTTGTATGGCTGTGTCTGGATGTAACTTTATGCAGGTGTTATTGGGGTTGAGACGACATGTTTGTATGTATTGGAACTGCGGGTGATGACACGGCATCACCAAATACCCAAATGTCCCAAACTTGGACTATTAAAATACAATTCCCAGCCCCACACCTACTGAACTTGACTCTCTAGAGGCGGGGGTAGGGTGCAGAGACTGCATTTAAAGCAAGTGTCCAGGTGAACCTGAAGGGCCCCTTGATAAAGAAACACTGATCTCCCTCACCCTACCCCCCATGCTGCAGGTGGAGAAACTGAGGCCCAGAAAGGGTGGAGATGGGAGAGGGGTACAAGCCATTCAGTGTGTGAGATGGGACCTGAAGGTCAAGGATAGCAGATCAAGGTTGCAGATCAGCTGCCGCTGCTGCAAATGAAAGGACTAAAGCGGAGAGTCTGGAGGCCAGTAAGGAAGCAGTTGCAGGCCCTTGCTCACCATTCCAGCCTCACTGGGGCTCTCCTGGAGCAGACCATTTTCTCTCCTTCCACCTTTGCCCAGTGCTGTTCACTCTGATGGTTATGGCTGATCTTATGGATGTGGACAGATCGTGGTCACAGCCTAATAATGGTGTGTTCTCCCACAGGTCCCAGGAGGCATCCCCCACCTGGTGGCTGGGAGAGCTGTGAGTAGCAGTAGTCATGCACACTGGTCTCGCATCCGCCACACGTACCCCGCGCGGCCCCTGAGTCTGGACACGAGTTAAAACCCAGGGTCCGCGAGCCCGCTCATACCATGAGCCACGGGCCGAGCCCCCGGCTGGCCGAGTCCCCGCAACTGTCCAAGGGCAGCCTCCTAACCATCCTGGGCAGCCCATCGCCAGAGCGCATGGGGCCCTCCGACTCACTGCCGCCCACGCCGCCCAGCGGCACGCCCTCTCCAGGACCGCCTCCCGCGCTGTCTCTGCCGCCAGCGCCCGCACTGCTGGCCGACGGGGACTGGGAGAGCCGCGAGGAGCTGCGGCTGCGGGAGCTGGAAGAGGCGCGCGCGCGGGCAGCGCAGATGGAGAAAACCATGCGCTGGTGGTCGGACTGCACGGCCAACTGGCGCGAGAAATGGAGCAAGGTGCGCGCCGAGCGCAACCGCGCGCGCGAGGAGGTTCGCCAGCTGCGCCAGCGGCTGGACGCGCTCACCAAGGAGCTGGCGGGCGCACGGCGCGAGCGCCAGGAGGTGCAGGGTGAGTGCGAGGCCCGGGGTCGCGAGCTGGCACGGCTGCGGGGCACCCGGGGAGCCGCCGACCCTACTCCAGATGGACCTGAGACAGAGCTGGAGCGGGAGCAGGAGCCGGTGCGCGATGTCGGGTCCGAGAGGCCCCAGGGCAGCCAGGTGCGTGGAGGAGGCGGGGCTGCTGGGCAGGGCCATAGCGCTTGGGTCCAGAAGCTGGGGCAGGATGTTGACCTGGGCAGAAGCCCAGCTGCGGGGCTCAGAAGGGGGATAGTAAGGGCCTGATCCCCAGGGAGGTTTCGCTACCGGGAGTTGGGCTGTGCCCCACAGAGCCCCAGGTCACCTCCCTTCTGGAGACCCCTAGGGCAGAGAGTCCTGGGTTCTAGTGGTCCCACTAGAATAGTCAACAGAACCTCAGAATCATCCCCTTTGAGCAGGAGCAGGATGTAAGAACTTTCCTGGAAGGCATCCGTTAGTAGCAGAGCTGAATCCATTCATTCGTTCAACTTGAATTATGGGGGAGAGATAAACATTTATAAGAAGCATCAATCAAAGCTGAGGGGCGGGGTCTGTCAAGGCACTAGGAGCACAGAGGAGTCCCTGATACAGGCTTTGGGAAGAAGCCTTCCTGGAAGAGGTCCCATTTAAGCTGAGACGAGAAGGATGCAGAGGAATTAGCTATGAAAAGTGCAGGAAGGTATTCCAGACATGGAAGCAGCCTGTGCAAAAGCCCAGAGGCAGAGAGCGCCTGGTGAGTTTGGGAATTGGCAATAACAACAGCCCCTGTTATTCAGTGGGCACCTACAGAGTGCTGAGCTCTGTGTGTGCATTAGTTTGTTCATTCTCACAGCAGCCCCAGGAGGTGCTTGCTTTCTGGAGGAGGACACTGAGGCATAGAAAGGTTAAGTACCAGTGTCTCCCAGCTGGTGACTGGAGTTGCTGGGGAGTTGAACCCAGGTGAACTCCAGAGTCCATAGTAATAATCAGTATGACAGGAGCTCTAACGGTGGGTGTGGAGGGCAGCCTGTCACCAGAAAGCCATCTAGGGGCAGAGTCCAAGTTCACGGTACTCCCAGCTCCAGCAAAAATTCTGGGCTGCTTCTCCCTTCCCTGCCCAGACCCCTCCATACGGTAGGCACTGCTGCCTCCTGGTGGCTGGTGTTTAGAGGTGGCATTCATTGTTGTTTTTTGGGACAGATGATGACAGCACCTGTCAGCCAGCCTCATGGCACTGTTCCTGTCCTGTCCTTATTCTGATTGTCAGTCAGTCAGGGAGGTGACAGGTATAGCAGCAAAAGCTCTGGGGTTACAGTCTGAGTTTGCTCTCCAGCCCAGCTGCTTCTGCTCTCTGTGACACAAAACAAGTCCCTCCCTTCTCTGTCTCCCCATTTGTGAAACAGGGCTTTGGACGAGGTAGCATCCGAGGCCCTTACCCAGACAGTAAAATCTCACGCCTCAGGGAGTCCTCAGGGCCAGTCACTGTCCAAGTCCATATAGGGAAACTGCAGGCCAGACATGGATGGAACTCGCCCAGACTTATCTGGAAAGTCTGTGGGGGAAGTCAGGCTGGAACAGAGGCCATGGGCGTCTGGGGTTTGTGGTCAAGGCAGGCCTTGGGGGTGGACAGGGGCAGGTCGGAGGGGAAGGGGAAAAAGGGGCTTGGCCTTGGGTTACTAATCCCTCACTGCGCCCTGTTTCGGAGCTGGTTTTGCTCACAAGGGCCACCTTACTGTGCATCTTTTACCATGTCACTTAACTTAGTGTTCGCACCTGAAAAATGGGATCTTAGAGCTGGAACTCCTTTTGAGGGAATCTAGTTCTTATCTGTTGTAGGAATCTCTGCTTCTGCATTCATTCACACCAATGTCCCACCATATGTTTACATACTTCCAGCAACAGGGATCTCACCACCTCTCCTGGGAAATCTTCCAAGATACAGGGAATCTTGGTGGCTGACTGTGTGATTCCAGGAAGTGAAGGGGGAGGCCCAGAAGAGGCCGTGTCCCTTGTTTTTAGGATGGAGGGGCAGGTGACAGAAGAGGAAACGGAGGCCCAAAGAACTGTGTGAATTGCCCAAGGTTACCCACCAAGCTGATCCCAGACCCAGGGCCTGGGAGGGGCCACACGGAAGACCAAGAGGGTGAGGGCTCAGCAGCCACTGGTCCAGCCTCCGCCTTGGTCCCTGCAGGAGCTGGAGCTCGTGGAGAGCCTGCTGAAGGGCAGACCAGAAGAGCCCGAGGGCTGCTGGGAGGCACGCAGCATGGGGACCGGGGGCCCACGGAGCAGCTCGGGCCGCCAGGAGCGCAGCCGGCTGCCCTGGGAGGACACAGCCACCATCGAGGAGGATGCCTCCAAGTTGACCGCCCTGCGACTGAGGCTGGATGAATCCCAGAAGGTGTTGCTCAAGGAGCGAGAGTGAGTGTTGGGAGACAGGCAGGGACCAGGGGGGTGGGCCAAGCACCCTCAGAATCACAGAATGAAAATCAGTGTCACAGAACATAAAACTCACTAAAGGGCAGTGGTACTATTTGGGCTCAAGTCTTGGAACTTCAGAGCAGTGGTGCTCTACCCAAGGACCCAATGCAAGTTTTTTTATTATTATTATTACTAATTCAGATAATATGTATTAGGCATCTACTCTGGGTCAGGCATTGTACTCGGCAGTGAGGATACAGCTATAGATAAGACCAGGAACCCCTGCCTTCATGGATAGAGAGAGTGTGCCATGGGCAAAAATGAAAGCAGGGACAAGGGACAGGGAGTTTGAGGGGCTACAGCTGCGAATTTGGTTTTGGATGTGTTGAGTGTGAGATGGCAGGAGTGCTGATGGGTACATGAATGAGTCTGGAGTTGGTGAGACAGGTCTGGGCTGGAGGTACACGTGCGAGAGTCATCAGCAAATAGATAATATTGAAAGCCATGAGCCAGGGTGAGAGTGGATAGGGAGGAGGGAGGAGGATGGAGACCTGGGCTAACCAAGTTTAGAGATCAGAGGAAGAGGGAAGCAGCAAAGGAGACAGGAGAAGGGGGCCGGTGAAGGGTAGGGGAACCGGGAGAAACTGTTTCAGGAGGAGGGAGTGATCAGCTGGTCAAGTAAGCAGAGGCCTGAGCACAGCAGATTTAGAACGTGGAGGTCTCCACTGACCTTGATCAGAGCACAAGCCTGATTATAATGAATATTTTGTAACACTCCTTTTTCTGTCCAGAAATTAACTACATAGCTAGTGTAGCCTAGCTACACATAATTTTTAAAAAATAAACATAATGCCATGTGAACATGAAGGCAGACATTGGGCTGATGCTTCTACAAGTCAAGGAACAGCAAAGATAGCGAACAAGCCACCAGAAGCCAGGGGAGGGCATGGGACAGATTCTCACTCACAGCCCTCAGATGGAACCAACCCCGCGGACACCTTGATCTTGGACTTCGAGCCTCCAGAACCATAAGACAATAAATTTCTACTTAAACAAAAGTCAAATTTATGTACTAACTGAAATATAAAGTAGAAAGGAAAGGAATTTGTAATAAAATATATGTACAGTTGATCCTTGAGCAACATGGGCATTAGGGGTATCAATCCCACACAGTCGAAAACTTTTGACTCCCCGAAAACTTAACTATGGTCTTCCCTTGGTATCCGTGGGGGATTGGTTCCAGGACCCCCAGCAGACACCCAAATCCACAATGCTGACGTCCCTTATATAAAATAGCATAGAAGAATGCATACAGTTGGCCCTCCGCAGCCAGATTCCCAACCACCGATTGAAAATACTGCGAAATTTTCAAGCGACTGTATGTTTACGGAAAAAAATTCTCACATCAGTGGACCTGCGCCGTTCAAACCTGTGTTGTTCAAGGATCAACTGTATTGTGATATGGAAGCCTGGGCACAGCTCCACTAGAAGAAAACACGAGGTGGTAAGAACCTGGTGCCTGTATATGGAATGATAGTGATGATGACTATGAGAGCAAATACTTACATAGCACGTGCTCCGAGTCAGGCCCTGTGCTGAAGCTTTGCTATTTACATCACCTCGCAGGACAGCTAGAAAAGCAGCAGGTGCAGGTGTGCGGGGTTGGCAACTCAAACACATGAGTGCTGTCGCTGTGGTGACAAGACTCCCTGAGTGGTGAACAGACTTTGGTAAAGTTCTGAACAAAGCAAAGTGCAGCCTTCCCTCCGTTTATACAGTGATTCCGTTCCTGGAAAATTCTGTTAGTGCAAAAAGTACTTCCCATTTATGTGTAAATCAGAGCGAGGTTCTGGGCTCAGGTCATTTTCGGGCTCAGGTCATTTTCACCCCCAGGGACACGCACACGTTACCCGAGATGCAGGATAATTTCTGAATGAGCAGATATCCTGGGCATTGGAGGTCCCCGCCCACTAAATGACTTTGTTGTTCTGATCATCAAAAACTCCCCCACAGATTTCTAACATACCTCCTAGAGGGTGGTTTTGTCTCCTTTGAGAACCCCGTGTTAGAAACGTGAAATGTGAGACCCTCAGAAAGGGAGACACGCGTGGTGTGGAGCTGGGAAGCACAGCATGCTGGAGTGTAATGATAAATACAACTGTTGGTTGATTGTCTACTATGTGCCAGAACAGGCACCACGCTTGTTACCCATTGCACCTCATTCGTGTGCAGGGTGGGAGGCATGGGAGAACATGGGAATACCACCCAGTAATGATGACAAGAAGGAACCCCTCAGTCCAAGAGTCGCCAGACAATGTTTTCCAACTTTTCTAACTGCAGAACTGCGAGTTCAAACCAAGCCTTACAGGGAACCACAGTGCATGAAACAGGAATAGGGGTCATATTTGGCAAGTGAGCCTGGGGCCCAGGGAAAGGGAGGCACCTGCCCAGGGGTGGCTAGTGTCCTGGAGGCCTGGTCACCTCCCCACACCATTGAGCTGAGCACCTGCAGTTGTGCAGAGAGTACAGCTCCAGGAGAAATGCAAAACGGGGGTGCCTACCACAGTACGAGGTGCCAGATCCTTGGATGTCAACGCAACGACTTTAGCCCTGGGTTTTACAGGTGCAGGCTGCACAGGAGGACTCAGTAGAACACCCCAGTGGATTCACCCCCATGTCTGCCTTTCGCTCTCGCCTCCCCAGGGATAAACTGGCACTGAGCAGGAACATTGAGAAGCTGGAGGGAGAGCTCAGCCAGTGGAAGATTAAGTACGAGGAGCTGAGCAAGACCAAGCAGGAGATGCTCAAGCAAGTGAGTCTTGAAGACCAGGGGGACTTTCTGGAGGAAGCAGCATTATGCTGCTGAATTTCAGCAGTGGGAATGGATTAACGAAGGGAATTCATTCCTTGTCAAGCACTGGCCATGTGCCATGCATTGTTTGGAGTGTTGGGGCAGGCAGTAAGCTCACTTTGTGGGGGCAAAGCAGGGAAGACCTACAGGAGCCGGGCAGATAAATTCAGAAGCTATGAAGGAGTCAAAACAGAATAAGAGCAATGGGGTGGTGGGTGGGTCAGGAATGCCTGTCTAAGAAGGTGACATGGAAGGCAAGATGTAAAGGAATTAGAAGAAGCCATTCTTGAGAAAATATGGGGGCAAAGTTCTTGGCAGAAGGCACAACAAATGCAAAGGTCCTGAGGCCAGAACAAGCCTAATGTGTACAGAAAACAGGCCAGTGTGGTTGGAAGGTAGTGAGACGTGAGGTCGCAAGGGGAGCTTTGTGGACCAAGACAAAGGGGAGGAGTCTGGATGTAGCATTCCTCAGGCTAGATGGCTTTTACTGCCGCCTGTGCTCCCGTGGCCACCAGAGGGCGCAGCCATCCAGAGAAAGCTTGGCTGGACAGGCTGCTTTTCCAGAAGGTGGGAGGACCAGAGACAGACCTCAGAGCCTGAAAACTCTGCCCTGGAAGGGACTGACACTGGTCTTAAAATGTATTCCCGGACCCCACCCTCACCATCCTGAATTATCATCTTTGGTTCCTGGGTTCAGGAAGCTGTCTTTTTAATCTTTTCAAATTGTGAAGTATAATCCTTTGCAGAAAAGTGAATAAAACACGAGTGTGCAGTTTCACAGATAATTATAAAGATTCTCTTTTGTATCTGCCTTCTTTCCCTCAGCATTGTGTATTTAAGTCTCATCCCTGTCATTGCACAGAGCGGTAGTTGTCAGTTTTCTCTGCTGTCAACAGAGACTGCACTATGTTAAAAGCATCCCAGGCAATTCTGATGTGGCCAACTCCACGCCCACATGCAGACTGGGTTCAGATCCACTGGATGCATGCAGCCAGTGTGCACTGAGGGCTACCCTGTGCCGAGGCCATATAGGGCTACCAAGGTGGACAGGCAAGCTCTCTGTCCTTCTGAGCTCACCCTCTAGTGGGGGTGGGATGCAGAGTAGAAGAAGCACCCCCTCCAGGCGGGGAGAACAGGAGAGGCCTCCTGAAGAGAGGGTATTTAGGCCAAAGCCTGAGAATGAGAAGAGTCAATCCTGCAAAATACCTCGGAAAGAGTGTAACAGGCAGAGGGAGCCACATGTGCAAAGGGCCTGGGGTGAACAGGAACTTGGTATATTTGAGGACTAGAAAAGAAGCTGCACGGTGAACTAAGGGGAGAGAGGTGGCAGGGCTTTGTAAGACCATAGGGAAGGGCTGGTCTTTACCCCAAGAACCCAGGATGGGAGTGTAATTGGATTTATCTATTTTTAAAGCTCACTCTGGGCTTACTGTTGTGGAACATGGGTTGACAGGGAACCAAGAGTGGACACTGGGAGGCTAGATGGTAATGAGGTAGGAGGTGAGAGATGTTGGAAACGGCACAAGTGGTCAGATTCAGGGTCAGTGCTAGACTCCCGGTGGCCCATATGGGCACCACCTCCTTGCTGAGTACTCCTGCGCCAGCGCCCACCCCCCAGAGCTGGTTCTGAGATATAGCCGTGTGGTCCTCACATAACCAGGGTAGGCTGTCTTGCAGCTCAGCATCCTGAAGGAGGCCCACCAGGACGAGCTGGGCCGCATATCTGAAGACCTGGAGGACGAGCTGGGTGCACGGTCCAGCATGGACAGGAAGATGGCTGAGCTAAGGGGCGAGGTGAGGCTGCCGGCCAGACCTGGGGGGGCTCAGGGCCACGGGGCCTGCCTCATCAGCTGGTCACTTGAAAGAGGGCAGGAACCAGGCCTGTGCTCTGAGGGAGGACCAGCCACACCCTGGAGGGTACCCCAATCTGCAGGGGGCGGCCTCTCTCTCCCTGCATAGAGCTCAGAAGCACCCTCACATCCTGTACACTGTCAAATAAGCCCAGGTTAATTATAGCCATTGCAGCTGGACCTGCTTCCTAGAGCCAAAAATGGCTCTAGGAAGAGGTGGGGTGGGAGGAGCGTCCAGCTCAGGCCCTTCCTGTGTCCGCCTCCCCTGGGAGCCCTCACCGTGTCCTGTCCTGTTGCAGATGGAGCGGCTGCAGGCAGAGAACGCAGCTGAGTGGGGTCGCCGCGAGCGGCTGGAGACTGAGAAGCTGGGCCTGGAGCGGGAGAACAAGAAGCTGCGAGCGCAGGTCGGGGACCTGGAGGAGGCCCTGGCCCGGCGGCGGCGACAGACAGCCAGCGCCCTGGACTGCGACCTGCGGGCCAGTCAGGCTGCGCTCTTCGAGAAGAACAAGGTGGCGCAGTTGGTGGCAAAGCCAGGGCTGGGGCGGCCCCACCTCCCTGTCCAGGGCAGAGCACCTACTGTATGTCCAACTCCAGTCCACAGGGGCCCAGGGACTCCTAAAGTAACAACTAGGGACTGAGGTGATGATCGCCCCACAAACTGATCCTCCTGAGCAGGCACTGTGGGCCAGACCCGGTGATCATTACAGTAGCTGCATTTATGGACCCACCCACTGTGGGTCAGGCCCTGTGCTAGTGCATTTTGTCAGTTATATCACTTAATCCGCTCAACAGCCCTTTTAGTTATCCAGCAAATATTTATTGAGCACCGACTACGTGTCGGCTTTGTTCTGGGTGCTGGGGACTACAGCAGTGAACAGACAGGACGACGTGGCCTCCCCTCGTGGAGCTGATGGCTCAGGGGGGTGCAGACATTGCTCTCACACTCACACTGATCCACAGCCGGCAGGAAGCAGGAATACCAAAGGGACCTGGCTTAGGCCCAGCGTCCTGGGAACTCTTCCCTGAGGCAGCGGCGTTTGAGACGAGATCTCAAGGAAAAGCAGACATTAACTGGTGGCAACCTGATTAAAGGAGAGAATTTGGAAATAACATAAACAAAGGTCCCATGGTGAGAAGGAGGTGGAGATTTGGAGGAACAAGTGGGCCAGTGTGGCTGGAGGAGAGTGGGCAAGGAGGATGTGGTAGGAGGTGAGGCCGGAGCTGCGGGCCCCCTGCAGAGAGCAAGGTGGGTGTGAACAGGTTGCAGTTCTGAGCCCCCACTGGCTGCGGTGTGGAAGGCAGATAGGAAGGTAAGCCTGTGGCAGCGGGTGGGGGGCTGTCGCTCTTCCCTGGGGCAGCAAGAGGTGATGGAGGCCTGGACCAGGCTGAGGTTGGTGGAGCTGGAACAAAGAGGATGGATTCAAGAGATCTTTAGGCAGAGCGTAGCTCCATTTTACAGATGTGAAGACTAAGGCCTGGAGAGATCACATTGCTCAGGGGTGGGCGCCTCCTTTCCTCGCTGCTCATCCTCTTCCGGCCACTCTGGCTTCTGACCTCTTTTTCTCAGACACCCACTCCCAGCTTAGCTCATCTCCAGACCCGGGGCTTTAAATGCCATGTGTACACACCAAAGACTCCATCCCTCCGCAGAAACTTGCCTCAGCTCCAGTAGCCTCCTGATCTCCATGTCATATCCAATAGGTGCCTCAAAGTTACACATTCAAAATAGAGGCACTGATTTCACCCAGCCAGTCCCTCTCGCCTCACTAGATGGCACATCTAGCCTCCAGCTGCTCAGCCAAACCTCTAGCGCTCATGTTTCAGACAGCAGGTGGAGAGATGCTGGAGAGAAGGGACACCAACACCCCTAGAGCTGCCTGACGCCATGGGAGTCCCGACATGGTGCCCTCTGACACTGAGTCCTACCCCCATTCCTGCTCCCCTGCAGGAGCTGGCGGACCTGAAGCATGTGCATGGCAAGCTGAAGAAACAGTTCCAGGAGAAGGTGGCGGAGCTGACACACGCCAGCCGGCGGGTGGAGCAGCACGAGGCCGAGGTGAAGAAGCTGCGGCTGCGGGTGGAGGAGCTCAAGAAGGAGCTGGCCCAGGCTGAGGATGAGGTGAGCGCCCGCCAGGGCCCCGAGGGCAGCCTGCAGGCCTCAGCTCGTGAAGGAGTGGAGCTGCAGGGCCCTCCTGTGTCGCTCCCCAGCACCTGACTTGCAGGAGGTGCCCAGGGTAGGGAGGGTGGGAGGGCTGGCAGTGGACGGATGGTAGATAGGTGTGCGGGTAGGAGGCTGGGAGGAAAAATGGACAGATCAGGTGCACGAATGGTTGATTAGGTTAATGGATAGACGGGTGGGTAGATGTGTAGGAGGTTAAACGGAGGGACAGAAGGATAACTCTGGATGAACAGATGAATGAGGGAATGAGTGGACTTATGGATGGGAGAGGAAGGGAGGGAAGATGGATGGATGGAAGATGTGACAACAGATGTCTGATGGGTAATCGGGTAGATGGATGAGTGTATGGATATATGGAAAGATGGATGACTAGACAGTGGAAAGATGAATAGACAACTGACTGGATAAGTGGGTGGAAAAGTGAATGGACAGGGAAAGGGCAGAAGGATGGATAGTGGGAAAAGATAGGTGTGTCTAGGAGAGTGGAAGGGCACGTGGACTGACAGGGTGATGGGTAGCTGAACAGATGAATGAAGGGTGGGTGGATAGGTGGGCATCTCCATGAGCAGATGGATATTTTCATGGGTGAACGGTCAGATGGACAGATGGACCAGTCGCTTGGGGCATTGGAGGGTGGCTAGATTTAGAAGGGCGGGGCAACAGCGATGGAGAGGAGCAAAAGGGACACTTCCCCTTGTGGGCCTTGGTCTAAGCCTCAGGAGAGACCGGGACTCTCTCTGGGAAGGATGTTCCCACAGCGGAATGGCGCGAGTGGCTGGTCCTAGGCGGATGGCAGGCCAGGCTGGCCCAGCCCAAGCTGTTGGCCCCTCTCGCCCCGTAGCTGGATGAGGCCCACAACCAGGCACGCAAGCTGCAGCGGTCGCTGGACGAGCAGACAGAGCAGAGCGAGAACCTTCAAGTGCAGCTGGAGCATCTGCAGTCCAGGTGGGCCCCAGGGTGCACCCCGGGTGGGGGGCCAGAGTTCCGGCGGGGACAGGATCCCTGGTCAGGGCACAGAAACAGGGCCGAGAGACTTCCAGCTGAGGGCCCGGGCAGGGTTGGAGCCCGGGCTAGAGGGGAAGACAGAGAAGGAAGAGGGCTGGACGCTGCCAGAATCCTGTCCCCTCCAGGCAGGAAGGGCCAGGGCCAGGAAACCAGGGAAGGGGAGTGCAGGAAGTGAGGCCAGCTGGGAACCTGGAATTGTCTCCTGTGACCAGAGAGCAGGAACGGTGGCCAAAGAGGTCAGGACCAAGGTGGGGCAACGGGTAGGGCCCACAGGCCTGGGGAGCCATTGACAAGAACTAGCAGCCACCAGGGTCCCTGGGTTGGGGTGACCCCAGGCCAGCTGGGATCAGAGGTACTAGAGGAGCCCAGGCCCTGAGGGCAGGCCCACCCCCTCAGCTGCAGACAGGACCCATCAGCCTCAGGAGGGACGACCACAGCGTCCCTGGGGGACCCACCAGCACCTGCATCTCCCCACTGCCCCCTTCCCCATCCCAACATCCTGTGACTCGCACCCTCCCCCTGACTCCCCCTAAAGCCATGAGATGTCAGAGAACATCAAGTCCAAACCCCTCCCCATTTCACAAGCGCCCCCGCCTGAGAGACGTCATAACCACAGCACTGGCTTGCTCTTCCTGGGCCAGGCCCTTATTTACATCCTCTTATTTCATGGAAATAGAGGGCGCCTAGGCTCTGCAGCCAGACTGCCTGGGTGGTGGGAATCCTGGCTCTGTGCTTTGGGGCTGTGTGGTCTTGGGCCACTTACTTAACCTCTCTGTGTCAGCTTACAGGTATGATAACAGCTCTTACCTTTTGTTTGTTGTGATAATTAAGTGAGCTGATACGTGTTTATAAAAGCACCTGGCACATTATAACTGGCAGCTGCGCCTGCTGCTGCTATTACAACTACCCCTGGGTGTGGGGGCGCTTACAGTTGGGTCAGATAGTGTGCTACAAGATTCATGCTCCCGTGAGAGAAGGGAAGGGAAAGATATTTTTTTTCTAGGGGGCTGCAGATGAGGAAACTAAGGCACAAGGAGGGAAGTCCTTCACAGCCACACAGCTGGTGGGTGGTCAGGCCAGATCGCTCCCCAGCCATCTTGCCATCTGAGCCCTTATTGACTAAGTACATACTATGCGCTATGCGCTGAGTGCCCATGAAGAGTACAGGCTATGGAGGCAGACCTAACAGCTGTGTGTCATGGCCAGCTGAGCCTCAGTTTCCCCATCTGCCTGGGTTGTTGCCTATAAAGTGTTGTGCAGGGGCCCAGGCATGAGTCCAAGTCAGGCTGTGTCTGGCCAACTCTACCCACTCCACCACCCCCAGCCCCCACCCCCAGCACACACCCCATAAAAGGCCGCCTAGCCCTAGGGCTTTCCTGCCGTCTTGACCACATTCTTGGGGAGCCATAAACTCCCAAAATGGACAGGCAGGCTCTGCCCAGCCTCTCAAGTGCTTCCATCAGGGAGGGCGCGGCTGCCCAGGACCGCTGCCTCGTTTTCTTTTCCAACTCTTTGTGCTTTAATGTTCCGGGGACAGCACACTAAATCAGCACAGTAATGAAGGCCCCCTCCTGCGCCCCTCCCTGCTGTGTTAATAATTCATGCCTTCCAGTAAGATGCCGCCAGGCCGCCACTCTGCTGGGGGATGGGCATCTTGAGATCTCCACTGCTCTCTGCTCAGGGTCCAAGTTAGCCTCCTATGTTTTGGCTTTAGGAACGTTAATATGGGGAAAGACTAGGCGTAGCATTTTCTCACTGACACTGAGGATGGAGGGGGCTCAGATCCCCCCACCCCCCCATCCCCCAAACTCTCTCCCTGTTTGGTCTTTGGAGCCTGGCTGGGGTTCAAATCACAGCAGCGTGACCTTGAGCTGCTGCCCACTTCTCCAAGCCCCTGGCCCACTCGCACCCTCTCTGGAGCCGGCCGCTTCAGTTCAGGCCCAGTCCCACTCCCTACTGTCTGTGGGACATCAGGCAAATTAGTCGGCTGCTTTGTCCCTCAATTTCCTTGTTGGTAAAATGGACATGACAGTAGCACCTCTGTCATTTCAGAGGCTTCTGGGAGGATGATGTGTATGTAAAAGGCCCAGCCTGGTGCCTGGCAGCGGGGACGTGCTAGGGAAGACTTCGCTGCTGTCAGCACCAGCTGACTAGACCCTGCTGTCCACCCCACCCCACAGGCTCCGCAGGCAGCAGCAGAATGCCCCCCTCTTTGGGAAGATTCGCAGTGCTCGCTTTGGCACTGAGGAGGCCGGGGATGGAGCTAGCGACCTGGATGAGGACGAGGACCTGCAGATCCAGGTGGCCTAGAGCTCCCGGGGCTGGCAGGACTGGCCCTCGGCCGCAGACCCCGTGGGTGCCCAGGCTGGCCAGCCACGGACAACTTCCTTCTTTCCCAGGGTGGATGTCAATGGTCCCACCCAGCCAGTGCCCCGTAGAAGGAAAGCCATGCCCTATGTTTTATATATATGTATATTTTTATATATATATGCCCAGGGTCTTTGGACCCATTTGGTTTTAGAAACACAAAACTGCTCCAAGGCCTGGTCTAGGTGACCCCACCCACCCAGGACCTTCATGCAGGTGGGAGGAGGATGTCAAGAGAGGGCTGTTGGGGCTGTGACCCAGGCTGCCTCTCTGAGCCGTGGGGGTTGAACAGAAGCTGTTCATAGTCCAATGTGATAAACCCGGTCTTTTGTAATAAAGGGAATTAAGGTTCTACGGGTGGAGTCCTGAGAGTGTGACACATCTGGGCAAGTGGGGCGGGGGACAGTGTCAGCCTCCACCTGGCCCCAAACCTGAGCTCAGAAATATCAAGTGACTTAATGAATGAATGAATGTGAGAAAGAATGAATAAATGAACATCTGAGCTGCCGATTCCAGTCGATCTGGAATCCAGCTCATGTAAAGGGAAGGAGAAAGCATGGTACATATCTGATCTGCAGAAGAGGACTTCAGTTTTGGCACCAGATGGATTCAGCTCTGTCCCTTACTGGCTCTGCAACTTTGGGGAAGTTACTTGCCCTCTCTGAACCTCAGTTTCTCCATCTATAAATTAGACATCTCACGGAGCCATCCTGAGAATTAGATGAGTTCGTCTGGAACTCAGTGAAAGGTTATTTACTATTGAACTACTTGAAGGTATGCCCTGGGGAGGAGGGATTTGCCAGCTGGGTTCTGCCCCAGGGATGAAGTTCAGGCAAGGAGTACCTTACCCAGAGGTAGGTGTATATACAATAAATAAGAAATCCTTTTATCTTTCCCGTAACCATGTTCTAGGTAGTGAAATAACAGGTAATTATAAGCTTATTTTTGATACTGAATCTCTAAGTCTTCTATAACCAGCAGATGTATACTAAATCTGGTAGGAAAAGTTATTAAAAACACAGTAGCATACATTTTTGAATCTGGCAAGTCGAGGTAGCATTCAAGATACCTGCCCTGGATGAGAACCTTAGATGAATTCTCGGCACCAAGATCTGCTTTCTGAAGGCGGCACTGTCAGCACTGTGCTAACATGTCGAAGGTGAGTTCCCCTTGTTCAGAGGTGTGCATGTAGAGGGTGGGGCTCTGAGCAGGGGCTGGCACCAAAAAGGAGTTCAATTCGGTTGATAAAGGGGCTCCCTGCCAGGAGTGGGCTGCAGCCTTCAAGGACTTGCCTATTGTGTCGTAGTCTGAGGGACCCCTGAGGCCACAGTGCTGGGAACCCAGGGGATGCCACCAGCCCTGGAGGCTGAGAGGAGACCAGAGGCAGGCCCAGGAACCCAGCTGGGGGTGATAAATACGGGCACTGCACATTTGCCCCGTTGCCACACCGAAACCATGTTGGTGAGGTCGCGTTTGCTGTCATGGTAAAGAGGCCCATGCCCCCTCCTGGGCTCCCAGGGGAAAGGATGGCGTGGGGGGAGACCCAGCCATGGGGATTCTCCCCACAAGCTAAGGCCAGCAGAAGAGGGACTGCAGGAAGAAGGCCGTTTCCTGCCAGGGTCTCTCTGTTTTCTCTCCCAAACAGGAAGTTGGCCCCAGAAAAGGCTGGAAGTGCTCTCCTTTGACCCCCAGGAGCCAGGCCCTCACTGGCAGCAGCCCTGAGAGCCGCCTCCCCAGGCTCCTGGTGGACCTGCCATTCCCAGACACAGAGCAGACCCATCTGCCGGCTCCCCCAGACTCCCTGGCACCTCCGGCGAGATAGTGTTGAGCAGGGGCCCCATTACAGCCCCTGTCTGTGGGCGGGGCCACTCCTGGGAATGTCAGTGAGGAGGGGGTCCAGCCTCCCCGCTCCATGATACAGTACAAGGGAGAACAAGTCTCAGGAGGGGAGGCACAGCCGCGGACACGGGGCTGGAAGATGCTCTGTGCCTGGAATGCAGGCTACCTCCCTGCTCACAGCCCTTCTGTCCCAGGGGTTGTGGCAACATCTCCCAAAGAAGTATCAGCTTTGGCTCATATGATGCTTTAACAACTGTGTTTAATGTATAGCTAATGTTAGTAATGGTGTTTTCTCATAAAAAAACACATTTTTCCTTCTCGAGTACCTTGAACCACGCTGAGCTCACGCTCCCACATGGCCACAGCGGCTGCGTTGAGAGGCCGGTGCTCCCTAGAATGGGGCACAGAGATACCCCAGAGAGCTGCAGTCTTTACGCTGGGCCCACCTCATTTATATTACTGCCTGGCCCCTGGAGGCATGTGTTTTTCCTCTGATCGAGCCCAGTCTCTGCTTCACCGCCCTGCGAGGCAGGCATTCCCACCCTCACACTTGACACCGATGATGCAGAAACTCAGCGGGAGCAAGTAACTATCCCAAGGCCACACGGCTGGTGGGTGACACTGACATTTCAGGTCAGGTAGTCCCAGGCCAGACCCAGCCTCCTGATTATGACGCTCCTCCAAGACAAGGCCCATATGGTGCGACCTGCCCTCCTCTGCAGCCCCGTCCCCGTCCCCGTGTCGTCCGCCATGTTGAATTCCCTTACTGCCACCCAGAACTGCCCCTCCCTCATCAGGGTCCCACCAGCCCTTCAAAGCTCAGCCTGTTTGGTTCATACTTANCAGGTCAGGTAGTCCCAGGCCAGACCCAGCCTCCTGATTATGACGCTCCTCCAAGACAAGGCCCATATGGTGCGACCTGCCCTCCTCTGCAGCCCTGTCATAGACCCCACCACGCCGGCCATGTTGAATTCCCTTACTGCCACCCAGAACTGCCCCTCCCTCATCAGGGTCCCACCAGCCCTTCAAAGCTCAGCCTGTTTGGTTCATACTTAGAGTGTTAGTGGGTTAGAGTGTGCGTTGGTTCGTACGTAGTGGGTTAGTGGGAGAAGTCGGCTTCTCCCACCCCACCAGATGCTCCTGGAGGGCAGAAAATCCTTTCAGCGGACGGCGCAGCGCTCTGGGCCTCGTGGTCATCCTTACAGGAGGGAAAGAATGATAGGTGGATGGAGGAAGGATGGGTGGATGGAGGAAGGAAGGAAGGAAGGAAGGAAGGGAAAAGGAAAGGTAGATGGTAGAAGGCTAAAGCCAGAACCACCCCTACCTCATGACCCCCCTCCAGTTCCACTGCAGTACCTGCAGGACTGGTCCTAGCCAGGTCTTTCTGCTGGTCAGCTAAGAAGTCTTTCAAGAAAGCCACAGCAGCCCAGGGGCAGCAATGCCCGGGCCTCCTCCCAGTGCCCAGACGGGCTGGAGAACAGGCTGAGCCAGACACTGCCCCACCCAGCCCCTCCTCCCCCTGCAGCTTGAGGCTCCGGGCACTGGAGTCTGTCCTCTGAAGGCTTGGCCTCCCCTCACTCTCCAGCTGAGGTCGTTTTTTGCCCAGCCTGACTCTACCAGGCAGCCCCTGGGGTCCCCTGCCTTGAAATCCATGCCCAAGAATGAGCACCTTGAAACTTAGCCCTCCAGACAAGCCTGGCTACTAGACCCAGCTGCGTTCTGATTGGCTGTGTGTCTTCTGGCAAGCTCCTGTCCTCTCTAGGCTTTTGTTCCTGATCTGTAAAGGAGACAATAGCAGCTGAGCTGTCCAAACCCACATCCAGTAATATTTTATTAATAGTAGAATTTTTCTGGCCTTCCTTATGCTCTGCATCCCCTCCCAAGACCCCAGTGCCCTGTCTGCTTGGGGGCCCACCAGCCACCCTGGGCATGCCCCTGGGGGAGTGGGGTGGGGGGTTGAAGGCAGAGGCAGAACCAGCTGCAGCTTTCAGCCCGCCCCCCCCCACACACACACACACACTACCGCCCAGCCGCCTCTGCCTACTAATTGCAGGGTTGCGAGATGCCAGCTGCCTCCCAAGCCCCAGGCGGGCACCTTCCAATGGAGCAGGGGCTTCCTGAAAAGCCTCCCAGTCACCTTCCAGCCCCATGGACCCAGCTGCGCTAAGGAGGGGGCTGGGGGGTGGGGGTGGGAGGGAGGTGCTCTCCATGGTGCTCAGACCCCCACCCCCACCCCACCAGGGCTGCCAGGATGGGAGCCAGAAAAGGTGTAAACATGAAGCCTTTCTCCTGGCTTTCCCATTTCCCAGGCTTCCCCCACGTCAGAGCAGCATCCTGGTCTCCCCTCCCCCACTCAGAAATTAGCCAGGCCTCCCACTGCTGGACAAATAAAGCCCCACTCCACATCCTGGCACATGGCGTGCTCCAGACTCACCCTAAGGCACATTCCCCAAGTGGTCTTGGTCCCAGGTCCCTGTTCTAGGATAAAGTGCAGGCAGGCCCCTTGCTCTCCCTCCCGGACCGGCTGGGACTGGCTTTCCCAGCAGTGGCATGTCCCTGCCCTTGGCTGGAGCACCCGTGGCCTAGTCAGACTGGACGAGGGGTGTGCCTCATTGGCTCACACCTGGACCTCAAGCTCTGAGAGCAGGGGTCCTGCCTCTGGGAATCCGGATCTCCCCGGAAAGGGATTGTATCCTTCAGAGCTCTCACACTCCTCCTCCATGATGTCACTGAATCGTAATCTTCACAACAACCTGGGAGGTGGTCAATAGCAAGACAAGACCAAGACCCAGAGAGGGAAGGGACCGGCCAGGAAATGACAGGGCCAAGATTCAAATCTGGGCAACTCCAATGGCCCAGTGTTCTCAGCTACAGCCCTCAGCCCAGGCCGTAAATGTTCATGGGAGCGAGGGAGGGGAGAATCAGCTAATGATGGAGAGAACCACTATCATCAAGCCCTCTTCTCTTCAGATCACTCTGCAAGGCCCTTTTATCCAGTGCCCCGCTTGGCGCTCTAACTTAGGCAGGTCAGAGGTGGGAGCCTCATTACCCAGATGGTGAGTACACTGCGGTCCGGAGAGCGAAGTGGCTCATCCCAGGGCACCCAGCAACCGTGTCCTGCGAGCCTCCAGATCCTTTAAAGAGGGTCTTAATCCTTCACTCCTTTCACCTCCATTATGATAACTCGAGAGAGAGCAGCCAAACAGATGTGAATTCGCCTGCACCCCTAACCACACAAGAAGCTCCGCCTCTCTCAGCCTCAGTTTCCATATGAGTAACACGGGGTGCCATGGGGATGAGAAAGGACATTTGTCAAGCTCCCAGCATGGGGTTCAACCCCTGGCAGTATTATTGCTTATCCACCTTTATTCAAGTTCACCCATCATGTCTGTGTGGGAGACCAGTTGTCCAGGCAGGAAAAGTGCACTGCCCATATTAGGGTGGGGATTTTTTTGTCCAGGATCTAACTCTGCCTGCATGGACCACTCCACTCAGCCATACTCACCTCTCCCTGCCCTCGGCCCAAACTCAGAAACCGCCACCTGATCACTAACCCAGTTGCCCAGGTATCTCAATTCCAGGATGGAATGGGGTTTTGAGGTAACACAGGGAGAGCAAAGGCATCTTAGTCTGTTCCTGGACCACCACCCCCTCCCCACCAACCCACCCCATTGGCTAATAAACTGGAGTTAGGGCTGGAACAAAATCCCTTGGGAATTTGGCTGACAAGACTCCTTTATCAGATAAAGTTTATCTGATTGCCCAGTCCCTGAGGGGTAAACTGAGGAAGCTGCCAAGCTAAAGGTGTGAGTAGGATCAGAGGGAGAGAAAAGAGGTGCCACACCGAGCCGTCTGCCTTTGTTATTTCTTTTGCTGATTATACAGCCAGCGAGGTGATCATAATTATGATCCCACCTTACAGGTGAAAAAAACCAAGGCTGACACCCTCAGCAGCACCCTGAGGTCTCATAGCAACTAAGAAGCAGGATTTGAACTGGGGCCATCGCTTTCCAGAGCGGATGCTGGTAACCGCTGCACTTGCGGCTCCTGCACTTTGAATGTAACACACGCCCATTAACCTCCATCTCAGTCCCTTGACATTGATTTTTCCAGATGGCTTCTCCTTTTGTAATTACCAGTGTATTCACCTGGTTGATGCTCACTTTCCACTCCCTTGCTGGCCTGGGAGTTCCCTGAGGGCTAGAATTTGGTCCTTCTTTTGTCACCTTGGTGCCCCCAGCACCTGTGGCTGCCACAGAGCAGGACATTACTAAACATTCAATGGATGAATGAATAAATAAGTAGTGAATGGATGACCAAATGA